GTATCAGGCTTGCCGGAGTATGTGGTCGATACTGCAAAGTCTCGACCACACGGTGGCCTACAACGAACGGTCCTTAATCGACACAGACGGGACAAGCACGACCAGGCAACCCTGTCGGCTTAACCACCAGAGACATAACCCATGTCCCGCCCGGTCTCAGCTTTAATATCATCATAATCATAATCATAGTGTTCTCACAACCCATAAGCAGAGCCGAGAAGATCAAAAAGTAAACCTATTTCTCGCTAACGATTAAATCATCATTAGACTTCTACTGAAGTCTAAGCATTACTAAGCATCAAAGGTATCAACCTACATACTAGTGGGGTTACAAGGAAGATATTTGAATAAATCAAGGTGCTCATGCAGCAATTGGTTTACACCCAACTCCTATTTACCTAATGCACATTTTATTGGACTCAATTGATAATAGCATTTGTAAACAACATGGAAAAGGTTTGTATGCTCCGGGGCTTGCCTTGGTTAGTAGAGGTGTTAGGTTCTTCCGATGAACCACAAATGTCGAACCCAACTTCCACCGATGGTTGTTCTTCCACGGGGATTTGATCAACGACCACTTCCTCTCCTTCGGTCACTACATGTAGATAATGATGCATGCTCAATATAAAGGAGTGCTTGAGATGATGCATGATAATGCATTGGTGATAGCATAACAAGCTTAATTAACTTGAGTACAACTTTCCTTCACGCTACTATTCAAGTTGATTAGCAAAAAGCAGTTTTAGTTATTATTATCATTATCACTTAGTTGATTATGATCATAACCAGAAAGTGATTAAGTTGCCAAGGAACATCAAAGGGGTTAGTGTTCCAAGGTCCACAATAAATCCCAAAATCACATCAAAGTTCATTAAGGGTTTATATAAATCATTTTGATATTTATTAATTAAGAAAGGCATTTTATCACATTTAAATTAAGTGACAAATTATTTTCATCAAAACAGTAACAAACTTTTTGTGGAGATAGGTCTAAGCATGTAAAGCATACACAAAAAAGTTTCATGATTAAAGGATTATTATTTTAGCCTATAAAAATCATGAAAGGTCCATTTATTAATTAAAATAGGTAATTTTAAAGCATATAAAAACTACTGAAAATCACCAACTAATATTTTTCCAATGTAGAACATCTAATAAAAAAACATACACAAAAGTTCATAATTTTAGCATGCTCCAATAATTAGTTATAAAAATAACAAGAATCAGCACTTTTTACCATTTTCTGAAAATCAAAACTGATTGAAAACCTTTTTGTACCCAGCCTGTCCCCACTAGCAGTCACTGAAAAAGGGGCCCGGGGTCAACCCAACAGTACCCCCGCGCATGGCCATAGATTCCCGGCGGTGAGATCGCCGGTGACGAGGTTGGTCCCTAAACGATCCCCATCATCCCGTGCATCGATCTAGGGTGGTGATTGAAACCCTAGGGCACCACGGTGAGCTTGACGCCGGCCATGGGGGCCTGGTGACACTCTGGCGTGGCGGAGGCAACCGACGGCGGGTTCTCCGGCCACGGGGAGGTCACCAACGCACTCCCCACATACCCACGAACTCGTCTACGCTACCGGTTGAACTACCTAGAGCTAACAGCGAGCTCAACCACGATCATGGCGGCTTGGAGGAGCAGGGCATGGCGGAGCGGCAGCAGACCGGCCACTACGGCAAGGTAGCAGTTCAACCAAGAGCTCAGGCAGCACCAGGCGCTCACCACGGCGTCGAGGTGTTGACTTGTTGAGGCGGGGACGCGACGGAGAGGGATGACCGGCGTCGATGGCGTGCGCGGCGGCGCGAACCGGCGGCGAGCCCGTGTTCCCGAGCATCTGAAGCTCGTCTGTAAAAACGGGCGAGACGATGAGCAACACGTTGACAAAAGTAAGCAAAAGGAACAAACGGGAGGACGAGAGAGCAACCGGATATGGCTAGCCACGGTCGAGCTGTCCACTGCGGCCATGGCAATGCGCCTGCGGCGGCAACAGCGTGTGCGGCCACTCCAGACGGCGAGAGGTGGTGCGAGTGGGTCAAGGAGGTGCACGAGGAACATTAGAAGCTGTGGTCGCGATCAATCAGGCGGTGAGCGAGCAGGCATGGCGAATTTCTTTTGCCGGCGAACGGAGCTCGACGACGGTGGCGGGAAAAGGAAGAAGAAAAGAAGAAGACGGCGACCGGTGCTGGTGTTTTAAAGGGCGAGCGCGGCGTCTCCAGGCGCGCCAGCACCTTCACGAGCGGGCCACACAAGTGTTTGCGCATCCAAACGCGAGAGGCAATGCGAAGTTGGTCAAACGGTGCACGACGGTGAGGGAGACAGACGAGCTGCTGCCGGTTCTACTGTAGCCGACTGAACCCTCCTCTTCCCTTCTCTTTTTCTCTAGATTAGGCTAAGCAACGCGATCCACTCCTTTAAACAAAGTTGTTCATCCCTATCTGATCTTCATCTTTACTTCAAGGACCTACATCTAAAACTAACTGGTTTTGAAGTTTTTGAATTTTAAAAACATGAACATGAAACTGTGAACTGCATTCAGTTTCAGGATTTTCCAAAATCAGTTTTAATTAGCAAACTTTGGGAATTAATTAGTGAACAATCATTAATCAAACATCACAACCAATTACACATTATCAAAGTTCAAACATACTACCAATCAATGAAGCAAAAGTTGCCCAACTTTTATTTGTGAAAATTCCTTTTATAAATTCCCAAAAATTGAACTCCAAAACTGATTCTCAGGGACTTAAACAAAAATGGCTAAATATGGAATTTAGTATTGAATTCAACCTTTGAGCTCAAATTTAAACATGTTTGACTTAAAAACATTTCACCACTTTGCTTCTATTTCACAGCGCACATTTTGAACAAGAAAGTTTATTTTAGCAAAATTTTATTTGTTTAAGGAATTTCACATATATAAATTCACAAAGTTCCTTAGTTGATATTATTGATATCATTTCAAACACACATATATACTTTACATATGAACAAAAATGCATTATGATTGATGCATCCAAAGCATGTTTGATACAATGCTTGATGATTATGCATAATGATGAATATGATCAAGGTTTTAATTGCTTTTTAACATCTAGGATGTTACATGGCCAGCCAGGGGGTGCTCGCCACGTAGCAGGTGGTGCTCGTGCTCACCAGCCATGGGTGCTCGCCAGGCAGGGGTGGCTGTCGGCTACTTGCTGCTCACCATGGGTGCTGTAGGGGGTGCTTGCCAAGCAGGCCGCTGTGCTCGCCAGTTGCTCCTCTCGCAGGTGCTCACCCAGCGCTGCTCTCGTGGCCTCACACAGGTGCTCACCTAGTGCAATGCCTCCACTGGGGCACCGGCGAGGTCCGTGCGCCAACGCCGACCTCCACGCCAACGTCGAGCTCCGCAACGATGAGCCTCCATTCGTCCAAGCAGCAAGGTGATATTGTGCTGAAAGCGCATGTTGCAAGAGTATATTTTAAGTGTTTCGGATGTTTCAGAGGTATGTTGCAATGTTGTATATCGATGTTGCAAAAGTAGATCGGGATGCTGCACATGTTTGTAATGGCTATACACGTATGTTTCAAGTGTATGCCCTAATCTGTTCCAGACTAATGTTGCAAGTGTTTTATCTGGATGTAGCAAAAGTAGATCTGGGTGTTGCATATACATGCATGTTGCAAGCATATGTTTCAGTTCTTTCGTACGTATGTTTGCAAGTGATTCATCTGGATGTTGCATATGTTTGCAATAATTTTCAAATGTTTTTTCGGGCGTTTTCGCAAGTGTTTCAGATGTTTGTTTCACATGTTTCATCTGTCTTTTTTAAATGTTACAACTGTTGTATCTGGACGTTTCAAAAATAGATCGGATGTTGCACATATGATGCACGTGGGAAGCGGTTGGCGGCGCGGACGACGTTTTGGGCGGCGTGGGCGACGTCCGGAGTGGCGCGGGGCCCATTGTTGGTGGGCTCGCTCGCGAGCCTGACGCGCTAGGCGCTCGCTCCATGTCTGTGCATGCAGCGTCGAGATGCTAGAGCAAAGTCTGTAACTATTGTTGCCTTGAGATAAATATTGTCGTAACTTGGGTTCTAAGATGGGCTTATGCATGCTGGGATTTCAGCATAAAAATGTGACATGAGTTGGGCTGGTCAGCATGTGCATGTGATGGGCTGCCCATAGTTTGTAATGGGCCATAAGGCCCAAAAGTGGATCAAAAATTCTTAATCTCGACCAAATTAAAACAAAACAGGTTACATGTACGTTTGAGTGAAGTCAACCAGTAGCGGCTTTGTAGCTATATATCAACTTTCTTGACCAATGGATCAATCAACCTGCAAACGACCACAATCTTTATTCATAGACAATAGTCACACACAAAAATAATGTGTAAGAGGTACATCATTGTTGTTGTTGATCAGATCGATGGTCAATCGAATGAGAAATAATAAATCTTTTTGCTGGCAAAAATCAGTATTTAATTGCCTATGGTCCATGCATGGGTCACAAATTGGCAAGAACCTGAATCTCTAGTAATACCGTTCAGTTCATTCTTCCGAGCACTTCAGACTTGCGACGGTACGTTAGTGGCACGGTGTTCAGACTTCTGTTGATCATGAGCCGCCATCATTGCAGTGCAGCTGCAGCCAGTAACTTCTGATCATGAGGTTGATGATGCATCATGCGCTGGTGTGAACGCCGCCGATGTAGTGTGTGCTTTCGTGTAGTACTCATCCACGGCCCGCAGCATGTATCTCCTCCGGCTACGGCATCGAACAGCAGGCCGACGCGGTTTTGTCCTCCTCGTATCCTTTGCCATGCTCTTCTTTTATTCTGGAACTGACTGCATTGTGGATTTTTCAAGGTCATGCATGGTCACCAATCCAGAAGCAAGAAATTGGCAATCGATCCCTGATGCTGATCCTGAAAATTTTGTCGTCTGTGCTTTGACATGAGCCCATCTTCCTGTGCAGCACCTGCACAGAACCAACCAGATGTTCAAACTAATCCTAGGTGGTCCTGTTATCCTGTCCCCACCAACAAACAGCAGCCGGATCACCCTCCAGAGCTGCTACAAGAGTATTAAGCTCCTCCATGCTATATCGAAAGAATGCAGTTTTCCTGTCCATTCCGCATGAACAAAGAAGGTTTATATGGTTTGAGCAAGCAAAGCGGTTAGGTCTGCACTGGCAACTGACAGCAGACAAGTGCAGATCATAGGAGCATGAAAAACACTCCCGGTCAGTGGAATCGTAGTCCTTGTCCATCTTCTTACTTTTCAGAGGAGCATTCACCTCCCATGCAGCACCCTCCATTTTAATTCTTGTCTGAAATAAATAAATAGAAAAATAAAAAATATGAGTATGTTATAAGTAATTCACTAAGAGACAGATAGTAAGTTCCAATGTTAGTGATCGAGTTACTACCTTAATTGCACTTGTCAGGACTCCATCCTTTCCACAGGTGTTCAGCCATCTGTATTCTCCCTTACCACTTTTGTGATTCATCCAAAGTTGTCTGGCAGCTTCTTTTGCAGCCTTGAGTAATAACTTGTCATGTGATATTGATGTCTTGCGACGCTGCTCTCTATAGAGCTCAACAGCACACTGTCCATGAGGCAGCCAATCCACAGGAGCGACGTTTACAGCCTCCGCACAGTTGAAACCACAGTTGAATCCAGAATGGTATGCTCTCGGTAGTGTCAGAACGAACTCGCCTGACTTCTGAACAGCTCGGTAAACAGAAACTCCTTCTGATTTTAGAACAGATGGAGATAACTGTGTAACCTGCTCCAAGAAAAAACAGAATGAAAATGGATGAGAATGAGATATATACATATGTTCTCTTGCATGGACGAGGTATTATATTCTTTCTCAGATACATAATTAAAAAACATTGTTTACAGGAATCGACAACCAACAAAACATCTCTGACAGCTGATTTGTCAATAGATCCTAAAAATTATATGATCCAAACCAGGTAATAAAACCAAGTTGCTTTTTATTTAATGCTTAATAGCTTTAGTGGCATTATTCGACTATGTTATGTGGTCAGAACAAAATACAGATGAACTTGGCAATAGGTCACTACTACATATATAGCGATCTACCAGGCACATAACAGAAAAAAAGTTGTTACCAGCTCATGAAGTAGATCAGGCTGTTCTTCAAACAGTTTGGGTAAGTTTTTTCTCATAGATTCTTCCAGCTTTACTGCCTCACCACTGGGAACACCATACCAAACTTTCGGTTCACCAAAATGCATGTAATTCAGAGAATAAAGAAAATGGTCTTCAACATGCTGCAGCAAAGTCATATAAAAAGATAAATTAGAATGCGCTCCATGAACAAAATTGTCATAAGTCGATTAATTATATGTACTTTTGTTCCAACCACCATATATCAATCTACTCCAAACCAAATACTGAACAGCGCCCACACTAGACAATTATTTTTTACAAAGTCAACCCTAATATATAGAATCTCTTTACTGAGTAAGGGATCCACATTTCATGAGAGAAATGTGGAAACAGATTAGCTAAGAATCTTACCCAGCAAAATGAAGAGAAGCACATTCCTACATAAAGCCATGGAACTACAACACCAGGTATATCCTCGCCTTCAAATGAGGTAACAGAGCCTGGCAGCCGTGGCAGAAAATTCAAGTTCCAACCAGACAAACCATATGGATCTTGCTTATTTCCATCCAAAGAAGATACTTTAACAAAACCACTACCAAACGTTGCAGTGTCCAAATCAGCACCATAATCCACCTAGGCACAGGAAGTTTGACATATATAAGTAATAATTTGATACAATACATAAGAACATAATCTGCTTATAATCTACAGACATACCTCAACTTCATCAGTTGACCCTACGACTATCCGCCAATATTCACCCTCAATTTCCTCCACTGATGGTTCCCATATTTTTATGTGGTTTCTAATATCAGAAATGGAAATTTCATCACTCCCTTTCATTCCAAAATATTCCTGCTTGAACCCATCAGCGTATTTCTGAAACTCCGCTAACGTGAAATCAGACCCAGATTGAAAGCCAAATTTCTCTTCGGAGTCCTCACTCGAACTAGGACGCCTGTGTGTCATCCCAAACCTCAGTCTCTTTCTTCTCTTTCTTTTCCTCTGAACTCGAGATTGTGTTGTTTTCTTTGTGGGCTCCCTGTTTTGAAGCTTGTCAACTTGTTGAACTCGAGTATTGAACTCTGTAGTTTCCCAGAAACTCTTCTCCTTCAGAGGACACGGAGGTTTCCAAGAAGATGGTGGGATAATACGACAAATTCCATATCTTTCTGCCTGCGGACGAATGCTAGCAATGTACCCAATTGGATCCTTAAATTCCTGTCAGAAAAAAATATTATTCAAACGAAACTATAATGTTAAATTAACAAATCCATGACAGTTCTTGCAAGAAACATCAAGTTATCTAGTTTTTGCATGTCCAACTTAACTAACCTTTCTGATAGTTTTTAACATACTGGTGGACAAACTTTTAAAAGTTTGATTTGATTACACGAATCTAAAACATCAATAGAAAGAAAAAAGAAGTGCTATCTTATCAAGCATAACACATTGCAAAATTTTGTGCAGAGACAAGTAATCCACAGAGACAAACCTCTTCAGTTGGAGTGAAAATGGGAGCATTATCAATTTCAGGTCTCTGTGATTCATCTGGACGCCACTTTCCACATGTCTACCCACGAAAAACGAAGGAAAGTAGATAGGTTAGATGCATATAATAATCACACAAATATCTGTATCAACTGATTCAAATTATAGCATTTACAAACACGCAAATTGTTTCATCCCTTAATTAAGGTCACATTATTATCTGATCTGCCTGAAAGTCCTCCCATCCTAATCTCACCCCCCTAAAGAAGAACCTACATCAAACTGTACATCCCCATTGGCAAATCAACATGGATCGACCAATCACCTAACAGTGCCATCCAATTTACTCAGGATTCAGTACCCAACGATTTTTTTTCACATGAATGCATGCATGAGCACGACAGCAAACAGCACATGCAGCATCAAAATTTGTATCTGTCAGCACATCATGATATAAATACTAGCCAATCCTCTAATAATATAACCACACGAAAAAAATTCCATCCTGATCGATAGATACACGAGCGGTCGCTCATGAGGCAATATAACGAACACTTCTTGAGCATATATAAACAAGGAAGGAAACGAAGGAAGAATTAATGCATGGGTACAAACAATTGCAGATGGATCTACGCGCATATCTGGCGGGCGACCGACCCGTACCTGCGAGGCCACGGCCATGGCGCTGGGCTCCGGCGAGGCCACCGCGCCGCCGCCGCCGCCGCAGCGCATGCGCTTCTTCTTCTCGCCGTGCCGCGTAGGGCCGGCCTCGGCGGATGTGGAAAGCATGGGCAAGATTTGGTGACAAAAAACAAGACCTTGTGCTTGGTATCGCGGGAGGGATCGGATCGGAGGTAATAACGACGATGCACATCAAAGACATGCGCTCGACCGGTGCGGTGTTCGACTTCGACCGACTCGGTCTAGGAAGCCGTGCGGAAGGCGGTTGCCGTGGTTTTCCGCCCAGCCCAGCCCAGCCCATAGAATTAATCCCTTGTATTCTATGGACTTGTTTAAATACATGTATATCCATCTTGATCCATATGTGTTGGAGTAGAATAGAATGAAATTTAGTTTAATTTTACTCTAATCCACTTCAACACATGTGGATTGAGATGATTATATACACATCCAAACAAGGTCTACAGTAGAATTCCTTCTACAGTTAGTGACACCAGTGGGCGGGCTCCGTTTTATGACACCAACAGCCCGAGTCAAACGCTCATTATATTATTTGTGTTTGTTAAGATCAATCATGTGTTGCTTTCGTACTAAGGGCCTATTTGGCAAGGCTCTGATAACAGTTTCTTCGGAGGAGCTCTACCAAACACTTTAGAAGAAGGAGCCGTTTTCTAGTGAAGAGTAGAGGAGTCAGTGCCGTTTTTTTACCAAGAGCCGGAGCCACAAAAAGTGGGCAAACATAAGTCTCAAGTACTCCGGCTCCTTAGAAGGAACACTTGAGGAGGAGTCCTGCCAAATAGATCATAAATATTAGTCCGTTGTTGGATAGCAAATTGGCATGAATAACTTAGCCTACCTTTTAATTTTCCTCATAAGACATCTCATATTCTAGAGTTATCGACGAAGCGGCCGCGAAGGCATATGTGCCTTTCGCACTAAGACGAAGATTGTCATCGTCTTTAGCCTCCAACTAGTAATCGATGTATCACGGGCAATAAAATCAAAACAGTAGCACACATGTCTAGTGAATATGAGGAGGTTTGTTGCTTGTGCAGTTGTGCATGGTGCGCTAGGGTCGATTGCAAGTAGCGGATCACAATTATACATCTATGGGTTGAGGATCTATTAGGATTTACCAATTATGGGCTCCTTGCCCTACTTATGTAGTCTGGGGTAGGGTTACATATAGAGTCTTGGTCGATTTACAAGTAAGTTTTCTAGTCATTTATAAGAAAATTTAGTCAGATCTTTATAGATAGAGTTGGTTTCAATTTATATCTTGCGATGCCTTGTTTATCGGGTAGATGAGGTACCCATCCCATTAGGTCTCCCAAGTAGTCGGATTGGGCCACCCTTTCCTGATTGATGATTTCCTTTGAGTTGAGGATACCTGGGGCACATGTAGTTACAATAGCCCTTAAGCTTTCGTGCGATTCAAAGAATCGGACGGAGATCTAGTCATAGTTGAAGTACGAATGCAAGTTCTTTCTATGTCGAAGTGCACCGAGTGTCCCGGATGCTTCATGTCATCAAGTTCGAATGATTTTTCTGTAGTCACAGTTCATCGGGTTCACCTGAGTGTCCCGAATGCTTCATGTCAGAGGTTTAACTGTAGTCTTCTTTTAGTCTTCTTATCCCACTGAGTGACTCGAAGGTCACAAGTTTACCTTCATGAAGTACACCGAGTGGTCTTCTAATTTCAACTCGGCAGCCAACCTTCGATGGCTTTTCTGAGAGGTTCCTCTCTTATGTTGAGTTGGAAGTCAGCCCTCAATGGATCTACCGAATGGTCATTGTTGCCAAATTAGATCGGCTGAGTAGGGAGACTATGAAATGTCGCAAGGATAGTGGGTTGCATCGTAGATCAAGAGATTCCGCAGAGATGCTGGGTTGTGCCGTAGGATATCAAGAAATGTCACGAGGACCACTAAGCACCCCATGGTGGAATGACACATGACTCTGGTCGCCAATGCAAGCACCATACACTACTAGAAATATCCACTTCTATGACGAAAATCTTAATGACGAATCCAAAACCGTCATAAAAGAACGTTTTTTATGATGAATATTTCTATTTCGTCATAGATCAGTGATGACGATCCTGCAACCCTCCCTTTCTATGATGAAATCAGGCATCGTCACAAAAACATCATAGAAGAGCGCAGGGTTTCATCATAAGATCACCTGCACTACTCAACTGTGATGATCTCCTTTAAAACTACGACAAATAAGGCTTCGTCATTGAACTAATTACACATATACGATGAACAATATTCGATCTATAACGAATGGCTTCGTTATAGATCTCCACACAGTACTTTCTCCATCCGACGTGTACCTGTGGGACCTGTAGTTACTCATCCGTGACGCTTGCAATTCGTCATAAAAGTCTCCGCTCGATCCTTTCTCCATCCGACGTGTACCTATGTGACCTACAGTTACTCATCCATGACGCTTGCAATTCATCATAAAAGTCTCCGCTCGATCATTTCTTCGTCCAACGTGTACCTATGGGACCCTTCAACATCCGACCCGTGGGACCCGACGGCTTATATGTCACGTGTACCTATGGGACCGTTCTCCATCTCCATCTGACCTGTGGGACCCAACGGCTCGCGTGTCATGTGTACCTATGGGACCATCCGACCTGTGGAACCCAACGGCTCATGTGTCACGTGTACCTATGGGACCTTTCTCCATCTCCATCCGACCTGTGGGACCCGACGGTTTGCATGTCACTTGTTGCCACCGAGGGTTAATAAATTCAAACTAAAAAAACCATGAGACCTGGGAGTCAAACCCAGTACCCAGATCAAGGAATAGACCGTCTTCACCATTGTGCTAGACGCTTGGTTGTGTTGACATGTCTTTGGAGTCCTAATAGTAGTATATGTTCTCTGTGTGGATAGGTTGACTTATATATTGGATGTATCCCCTGCAAGTGGAAACAAATATGTGCCCGTTGGACTTGATGCGGCGGCGGATCCCCGGTGTGCTGTGCTGGCTTAGGCATCCTTTTGGAGGCTAGGTGGTAGGTCTTCCCAGTGGAGCACGCGGCATTGGCGTCCATGTCCGTCGTGTGCCGCGGCAGATGCAACAGATCCGATCTGCAGATCTCTTTTCTCGCCTTTTCCTGTTCGCTTCATTGTTTTGATCCTTGCTTGAACATGAGGTATACAAGAAACATTATAGCGTTGCAGATCTGGTTAGGACAATGCTGATGAAAAGAACTAGGAGGTGGCATTGGTTGGTTTTCTACTAGTGTCTTGGTTTTATGCATATGTTTAGTGTTCTTACTGTAAATGCATGTGTGCAACTAGGCCTGTTAATTATCTAGTGCTTGCTTGATTCTATATTTCTGTTTTCATATGCTCCAGTGCCACCAGTGAGTCCTTATGGTATTTTGAACTTCTAACATATCTGAGGCCACATTTCTGTGCCAATGATGTCTACATGGTTGTTGGATGTATTAGGATGCAACTCATATGTTTGCTTTCTATGTCTTCTCCTTGTTGACAACCAAGTTATCTATTTGGTTCCAAACAAGAGGAAGGCATCGAAACCAAATCAATGATTTGTGTCCATCATTCACATCTCTGAGGCCAATAATGTTTAAGCTACACATGTTGCTAGTGATGCCAATGATGATCACTACCACTTGTTCACTAACATTCTACTTGTGAAAACTGAGGAAGCTCAATTAACTGCTGAAATTGTAATGGTTACAGCTCCATTACCTGCTACTCTAGTTTGAGTTATATATATATATATATGTATATATATATATATATGTATATATATATATGTATATATATATGTATATATATATATATGTGGTGCTACTCTAAATTTACATGAGGTCGTATCATAAACATTGTTAATAGTTGCACTTTGGTATGAGTTATGGACTTCACTGATGGATCTTTGTTGGATTATTTTCCTCTTTAGTGATCTCATTACTGAGGAAGCTCTCATCGTATTGCACACTGACGAAATGGAGGAGGCCCCCAACAAGAGGAATGCACTGGCCAGCCTCATGAAGGATGTCGTTTTTGAGATCCTCCGCCACCTCCCCGACCGCTCCTTGTTATGCTGCAAATGTGTCTGTTGCTCCTAGAAAGACCTCATCTCGGACCCCAACAACCATAAGAAGCTGCCTCAGACTATGGATGGCTTCTTCTATGACAGTGAGAACGACAATCAAAACTTTACCAGCATCGTCCGTGGTGTATGCCCCCGCTCCTTGGAATTCTTGCCCTTCAACATTGACAATGTAGCTCTCTTAGATTCCTACAACGGTCTCATCCTATGCTAGTGCCTTGGGGCTGATGGATACCGCTATGTTGTCTGCAATCCAATGACTCAGAAGTTTAAAATTCTACCGCCTAGCACCTATGATGTTGGCCATGCTGTTGGTGAGGCTCGCATGGCATTTGATCCGACAGCCTCCTCGTACTTCCATGTGATTGAATATGTGGATGTCAACGCTGTGTGCGCAGGTGTGGAGATCTACTCATCTCAAACTGCAGCATGGATCTATAAGGAATCTGAATGAGGCGAGCATACTGATGTGACATTTTACAGACAACCAAGTATGTTTCTTAACGGTTGTCTGCACATTATGGGGCACTCTGGGAGGTACTCTATGATATTTGCTGTGGATATGGAGGGAAACACATGGAGGAAAATTGGTAGGCCAAATGGTCTTCACCACTCTATGCATCAAGCTCAAGGTCATTTGTGTGTATGTACTATTGATGGTCCCAATGATTCTAAGCTTTCAATCTAGATCCTTGAAGACTATGGTAATGATAATTGGACATTGAAGCATACAATCACCATGCAGATCCTGTTTGGAAGGATTAATATTAGATTTGGTTACCCAGATTTTGATGATGAGGACATAGTGATCACAGTTCACCCAGAATGGAATTTGATTTTCTTTGCTAGGGAGGATGGAACAATCATCGCATATAACATGGACCGCAAAAAAGTTCATGTCATCCCTGTTCATGTCTTTCGGTATGATAGACGTACCATTAAAAAGAGTT